CTGATTTACATTTGTCCTTTTTTGAATAAAATCCGTAAATGTACAGGAGTTCCCTAAATGATCCGTTTGAGGTTAAATAGAACAATGTTAGTAAAACAGGGAGGAGTATCAGCATACAAAAGGAAGGCCTCAGCTGTGTTTGGGCTCATCTTCCAATGTATTCACTACTTATTTTAAATATTTTTTAGTGTTTGGGAATAATACATTCTTTCCATTTGAGGTTCTTTGGATGCCCCCCATGTCATGTGTAGTATAATGCCCAGGAAGACTAAAGTATCTACTAACTCATTGGAATAGCTCGTGGTACTAGAAGCATAGCAGCTATTGAACCAATGCGTTCAGCTTTAGAGCCCAGCTCTGCTTTCTGGTCCCGTTTTACATGGACTGCAGGCTAAATGGAGAACAAGATCTGAACAACTGAAAGCATATTGCAATCTGACAAGATTCTTCTCAGGGTTATCTGAAACAGTCAAAGAGATTGTCTATGTCTGTTATGCCTCCCTGGTGGTGAGGGCAATAAACTGTGACAGAGAAATAGCCCCCAGCGCTGGCAGCTTTGATGTATTAAACTGCTCCTTCTCTAGTTCCATAAAGTTCTTGACTCAGCTTTGTGGGGCTGAACCAATGGCAACAACAAAGTGGCCACTAATGACTTTATTTCTGTGAAGTCAAGGTCAAAATTCAGTTTCTGTGGAGCCAAAACTTGACCTTTTATTTATAGTGATGATCATTTATAGAGCTCTGCTGTCCTGTTGAAGAGCATGATAGCCACACAAGTTCTTCAGGCACTAACATGGAAAGAAACCTGCAAAATATGCCTGGAAGTGGGAGAATACTTCAGTATCTGCACTGGGAATGGGGGATAAACAACCATTGCCTTCAATGCCTTCAAACGACTGATGGCTACCTCTCTGATATTTTTGGAAAAATAGTGATGCAGACTTTGTTCAATCTCAGGCTTGTTTATGTAGCTGAGAATAATCAGGTGTTATATTAAAGAGCCAGACAGCAAGTTCTGTTCACAGTTGTCTCATGGACTGATAATTGCAGCAAGTTCCAATCACTGGCAATGTCAAAAGTACTTTACACATCTTCAGTGTTATTTGGTCAGCTCTCTAAATCCCACCCTCTGTGATCATTATCTTCAAGAGGCTCTTGTCTCTGCGTTTATATTCTTACTCATCAGTGCTGCTTACAAGTACCTAATTATGCCACATCCTGCCTGCAGTCACCTTACCCCTAAAGCAAATAGCTCTGTACTCACACACACCACCCCAAACTGCAATCAAACAAATGAATTAAACATTGCAGCATCAGTCAACAGAGTGGCAAAATATACACAAGTCATCCGTGGGAAAGAGTGGTTTCTGTGTTGCAGCACGATGCACACATACCTCTACATAGCTTAAAACCTGGTTTTGTGTTTCTGAGATATATAAGAAAAGAGAACAAACAAGATTCTTCCCTCTATCTCACCTGAATAATTCTGGATTTTAGAACAGTTATTGCTGATATCGATCAGATAATCATGTATAACTGCCAAAGACCACATCTCCAACTTGCTGTGCTAAGACAGAAGTGCATTCCTG